GTAGGTAAGTGCACCCGTGTCATGCAATGCCTACAGGGGTCAGAAGAGGCTGTCGGATCCCCTGGGACTGGAGTTATGGACGGTTGTTAGCTGTCATGTAGGTGCTGGGATTCAAACCCAGGCCTTCTGCAATAACAACCAATGTTCTTAACCTCTGAGCCATCTCTCCAGCCCCAAGTTTAACTCCTTTTTAATTTTATTTATTTATTGGGTTTATATGTGTGTGTTTCTGTGGGCATATGTGTGCCATGGCATGCCTGGGGAGGTCAGAGGACAACTTGTGGGAGTTGGTTCTCTCCTTTTCTACCATGAGGGTTCAGGGGATTGAACTCAGTTCTCCAGGCTTGATAGCAGGTACCTTCACCTGCTGAGCCATCTTGCCCACCCTTTATTGGGGTAACTTTGAGAATGACAGAACATTTCTCTTAGGTAGCTAAGGTCTTAACAAAACTCAATAACTACCAAAACTGCCCTGAGTCAATGTCTTTGGTTTTTTTTTGCTTGGTTGTTGTTGAGACAGGGTCTCCCTAGCTAGCCTGGACCTCACTATGTAGACCAGGCTGGACTCAATCTCAAGATCCACCTGCCTCCTGGGGGTAGAGATTAAAAGCATGCATTATCATGCCCAGCTTAGAACATTCTGTAACTTAATGAGATTCCCTCCAAGATGGAATGTTTTTCTTGGAGGAACTTGATATAGGACAAATGCATCCTCAAACAATAAAGCAACCCTGTCTCATACAAGGAGGAAGGTGATGACTGATACCAAAGTTGTCCTCTGTCCTCCACACATGCATCATGCTCTGGAGATGCAGCCATAGTCTTGGCACCTCAGGGCAGCCTCATCTCTTTCACCAGAATCTGCCTCTCAGTCACATGTTCATTCAGTCTTCCCTCTGCCATGCACACAGTGCTGGGACTGATCACAGGGAGAGGACCATCTGCGGCTCCTATAGAAGAATCATTACAGCCCAGCCACTCCTCTCAGGAAAACCATCAACCATCAAGCATGAGCCATGTTCCTCTGCCCTGGTCACATTACATCAGCAGTTCTCAGCCATCACCATGTTGGCCACCAGGAGACATAAGCAATGCATGAAGACACTCTTGTCACAACAAGGACAAGTGGCATCTAATGAGCAAAACCAGATGTGGCTGAACATCCTACAATGCCAGGATGCCCCCACCACACTCTCTAGCCCATCAGTGATGCTTCTCATGGTTGCACAGGATGCTGAGAATAAAGGACAGGTGCGGGCTCGGCCCTAGACAAGGCATTTACACCAATCCCTTAAGGCTCAGGAAACATTTTGGGAGGGAGGGGGCAGAAAGAATGTAAGAGCTGGGGCTGGAGAGACAGCTCAGGGGTTAAGAGCTCTTGCTGTTCTTCCATCCAGAAGACCTGAATTTGACACCCAGCATCTACAAGGTGGCTCTGGCTCTGTCACCCTCTTCCAGCCTTTGCAGGTACTATGCACATACCAGTAAACATACCAGTCATCAAAACACTTGTACAAATAGAAATTTTTAAAATTAATTTTTTTTTAAAAAAGTAAGAGCCTGGAGGAAAGGTAGAGGGACTGTGAAGTACCAACTCTTATTGTGGGAATTAACCCAAGACTGACTGATCAAATACATTTGCTAGAACTTATTTATCTACTATATAAGAATAGTTATACTGAAGTCATAATTCATTAATTCCACATTAGGTTAATTTTTTTCCCCATCATTATAAATAGGACACACAACGTGGCAACCAGGAACTCACAGCAGCTTTGCATACTGATATTAGGTCCACAGAAGCCAGGTCCTCTAACAGTCAGCTACAGAGGGGGAAGAGACTCACAAGCCCTCCCATAAACTGCAGATCTATTGCTGATCAACAGATTCTGGGAAAGGAGGAGGCACAGAATCCAGTTTCATACTTGCTGATAAGCCTATCAGACTCCGATGGTTAGTTCCAAACCCAGGATCACACAAACAGTCCTAATTTTAAATGCTGTGGAACACTAAACAAAACCCCAAATAGCCAGGCACTGTGGTGCACGGTTTTAATCCCAGAAATGGGCGGGGGGGGAAGGTGAATTTCTGTGAGATTTAGCCAGCCTGATTTACACAGTGAGTTCTGGGCCAGCTGGGGCTACAGGGGTACCCTGTGTCAAATAACAGCAACAACAAAAAGTAGTAAATGGGGAAAGGAATTTGTGGGGAGGATGGGAAGGCTTGTTGGAGTGGAAGGGAAAGAGGGGAGGGTAGCAGGGAGAGTGACTACAATACATAGTGTACATATGTGAGATTGTGAAAGAACAAAATTGACTAATAAAAAACAAGCATGCATCCTCACTAAGGTGCTGCATCACCCAATCTGTTGATGAGCAGGAGAAGAACATAGGGCAGGAGACAGGGCGTTTTCTCTCCTGGTTTTAGCTGTGTCGTGCATCCCCTGCCCTTAGACTTCAGAGCTCCTGGTTCTGGAACTTTCAGAATCAAACTGAAGGTTAGCATTGGATCTCCTGGTTCTTCAGTCAGCTTACGGCAGGTTGTAGGACTTCTGTCACCATGGGAGCCACTTCCCAAAAGGTATCTTCTCTTTCTCCACTTATGTCCATCCATGTAGGTACACTATCACCTATTGGCTCTGCTCATCTGGAGAACCCTAACCAATACATGTATCAAGGCTGAGAAATCTTACTCTAAGATTTCTTTCTTTTTGGAATCCTAATCCTCACTAGCCCTGAAAACCCAGAAGCTAATAAAATACAAGCAATGGCGAAGATCTCTGCTGAATGCTATCAATTCCGATGTAGATTTGTATACTTGGAGAGGAACTCTTGGCCAAATGACACTGCTAGTGAATTTTCTTTATTTTTTAAGATATTTTATTTATTTACTTATTTTACTTTATTTATTTATTTATTTATTTATTTATTTATTTATTTATTTATTTATTTATTTGTGTGCATGTGTATATGCACTTGTATATGTTCATGGAGGCCAGAAAAGGGCTTCAGGTGTCCTCCTCTCTTTCTGCCTATTCATTTGTGGCAAGATCACTCCATAAATGTGAAGCTCACATTTTCTTAACTAGGCTGAAAGCCAGCAAGCCTCAGTGGGCGATCTTCTGTCTCCAGGCCCCTCAGAGCTGGGGTTACTAGTGTGCACAGTTGCCCAGCTTTTGATGTGGATCCTAGGATTATTTTTTTGTAAAATTTTAAGTTGTGTACTCTTACTGCTCCAAGTATCATCCAAATTCTTTCCATTCACATCTTTGTTTCCTGTTCAAATACCTCTTCTGAATTGTAAGTTCATATATTGAAAGACCTACCAGACTTTTACTGTCAGATGCCTGGGTTCCAGCATTGCTCTTACTGCCACTGGTAGAAGTTTAGGGTCAGAGACCATGTCAGAAGTTCAGTCATTCTTCTGGACTTCCACACCAAACAGCTTGAGACCCAAGGCCCACCCACAGAGCCACTGAAGATTCAGAGTGCATGGGTGATGCAACAGGACAGCCAGAGGGGAACTAAGTTCCCAGTCTGCTGAAGAGATTATGAAGCCTCTTCCTGTGTACACACATGCTCACAAGCACACACACACACACACATGCATGCTTACATGCACACATCCTCATGGGCACACACATAGGCACATGTGCTCACATGTGGATATGCTCTCGCACACGCACATATGTGCTCTCACATGCATACAAGTATGCTCATACACATGTGCACACACTCACAGGCACACAGGTGAGCACGCACAGGCACATTCATATCTGGAAACCCAATGCCTTTATTGGCTCAGCCTTTTTCTCTCTCCAGCCCTTCCCAAATTCTCTCCATGTTCCTGGATTTCTGTACCTTCCTTCCAGGAGAGAGACATTAGTCTCTAGGTCCAGAGTCTATACACCAGCCACAGCAAAGCCAAAACATGTTAGCTAAGGGAAGTGCTCCCTAGAACACTAATGCTTTCAGTGACGTTGAGGAACACACAGTACAGAAGGGGGGAGGCTTGCAAGGTCTGCACCATCGGACCTTTGGGGTTGGTTTTCCCTCGGGCTTGGAGCTCTGGACTCACAGATACTGTTCCCCACAGGGTGTCCTTCCTTCCCTCTGTGAGTACTGAGGACTGTGGCTTCTTCAGGCCTCATCAGAGACTCGGAATGTGGAGCACTTTAGTTCAGATCCCTGTACAGCTGCCTCGACATCCTCTTTCCTCCAACACTTAATTTTTAGAGGGGTCTGGAGTCTCGTCAGTGTCACTCGGCTTCTCTCTCAGGTCCCAGGTCTGAGCAATTGAATCCTTGGCTCCAGTCACCACCCCACTGTAGCGCCTGCCCAGCCACTGCCTCCAGCCAGTTCTTTAATGAGTTGCCCAAGCAGACTCACATCCACCATGTTCTTTGCTCTGTCTGGCCCAGGTTGGCGATCTGCCTGGAAGGCCAGCATCTGGTGCTGCAGGCTTTTCCCAGGCGCCTGCCCAGCGCTGCTTCCTTGGCTCCACTTTTTCCAAGGTATTTTATGATTCAAAGAAATCCTGTCCACTTTGGCTTTTGCCAGAAATCGATGAGAATCTCATTTGGAGTATTGTCTCACACATCACAGGTGTCATTTCAGTGGGTCAGGAAGGAAGGTAGACATGTGGCTTCTGCCCACTACCTGGACCTGCAAACCCCAGTGATGTGTGGGCAGTTTAAAGGCAGGGAGAAGGATCTTCTCTCTAAGGCAGCCTTTTCCTGACCCAGGGCTGGGATTTATGGAATGATCTAGTGTGGCTAACAACATGAAATTGGGACTGTTTGAGAAAACTTAGGAGATGGCAGTGCTATGTAGTGCAAAAGACCCATGCTGTCAGGCTTTGGAATAAAACAGGCTCACCAGATGAGTTTTCTCAGGAGCTGGGAAAAGAGCTCCTCCCTGCCTTCTCTGGACTGCCTTGACCTTTATCACCACCAGATGTTAATATTTAACCAGCACACAAGGCTGAAAATGCAAGGACAGGGAAATGCATAGGTTCCAAACTATGAAGAGGCTAACCTGCCCAAGGACCAAGTTCACAACTGGGTCTCCATACCCTCCTTAGATCCCGAAGCTGGGACAACTGCAGAAAGCAGAGTAGACCTGGAAGAACTCAAATTCCCAGCAAGTAAGTCTCCTATTCTTTAGTCTATTTGATTTAATAACTGAGAAAGATGCCACTTTTATGTTGACTCCTGGGCTCCATGTTACTGAATGTTTGTTGAAAAGAGATTCTCCTGAATTGAAGTTATTAGTGATAGGCTTGCAGTTCTAAAGCAAAGTCAGGAGACATGGGTTCTCCTTCACAACACCAGGCACACCAAGGTAACGCTAGGCACTTCATTCCCATAAGCCTCTTCATCTAGGAAGTGGGGACTTTAGTAATGCCTACCTTGCAGGTCCTGGTGAAGATTGAATCTTTAATTAGGGAACAAGCCCAGCACAACCATGAGAAATGAATGATTCATTAATATGAAATATTAATATGAAACATTAATATGAAATATTTCCCTACCTGAATAACATCTGAGGTTCTGCAAATATCCTACTCACTGCCTCAACTGTTATTTGAGGAAAAATCAAAGTTCTCTGTTGCCAATAACAAGCTAGTTGCAGTTCTCATGGGAAGGGAGAACCATGGTGAGAAACCATGGGTCTGTATCTGGTGTGAGTATAAAATGGTCATTTCCATATGCTTGGATTGTGCTAGTTTCTATCAACAAAGGGATTCATAACCTTTATGCCTAATCCCAGCTCCATTTCACCAGCACAGCCTAAGAAGATGCATGAAAGATGGCATAAAAATATTTCTCACAGCAAATACAGGTGAAATTAGAGCTACAATTATTTTTCCTTCACAGACTGGCATGCTCTGCTCTGCCAATCTAGGAAAGTTGCACTTTGAAGGACTTCCTGGTTTCATATGAAGGTTCCTCAAAGCCCTTTAATGATCTAATTGCCAATCCAGAGGGCTGGAGCAGGAAAGGCAGGATTGTGGGTAGGAAGAGAATGAGAGGGAAGTAGCAAGCATGGAAATGCAGGGATGGAGCAAGGGCCCACCTGGGAAGCCAACAGTACAGATCTGGTTGTGAGGTGGATAGTTCTGGGCTTCCAAGGTAGTGTGTAGGGCCAGTGCCATCAAACCAATGGGAGCGAGCATCGTCCTTCAGGCAGGTCTCCCCATGCATAGCCTTGGAGGGTCCATGCCCCAGCTCTGATCTCCCCACGGCAGGACTTGCCTCTGAAGATACAACCTTGGTTGAGCTTTAGGCCAAGCAAGCCAGTTTGTTGGTTGGTCCAGGATGACAAGGGCTTATCAGTCTTGCTCCATGGACTTATCAGGATGAAGGTGCAGGACACAGATACCGCATTAATCTTTCACTCTCTGAGAACATGAGGACATTCTGAAACCAGGAACTTTGGATTCTAATTGAAATCTAAATCACTACTTCTGAACATCCAGATTCCTAAAATAGCCAGGCATGGTGGCATACACCTTTAATCCCAACACTCGGGAGACAGAGGCAGTTGGAACTCTGTGAGATCAAGGCTACCCTGGTATACATAGCAAGTTCCAGGCCAGCTGGGTCTGTCTCAAACAACAACAACAAATTTCTAAATTATATATGATAT